CTATGACACAATACAACGTATGTATTTAGAGGATCGGGGAATTCCCCAGTCATGCGACAAACGAACCAGTACTGCCAACCTTATTTTTACCTTGGCCATAGAATATACATACCTATGGTAGGTACCAGAACAGTAAGTGTGCATTCACAACGTAAAATTTTGCGCATTTTTCAAGCGTGTTGTGTTAAAAAAGCTGCACTTGCTGTATAGTCATTTGATTAGTCGGCGTTAAAATTACCGCGATAAAATTGCTTGCGATTATATTACTGCGTTATATATGAACTAACTATCATAATATTAATATCTAATTTGGAATGCGTTCCGAAATGTACTAAAATAGCGTCGATGTAATGTACAGAGCAAGACAATCGTCATTGAAATTGCGAATTAAATTTTTACTGTTTAAGAAACATTGTCAATTTTTTTCTCTGTAGCACGTGGCGGGGCCCCTAGGCAGTTGCCTACAGTGCCTAATGGATAAAACGGCCTTGCGTGTATCTAATTGAGATATTATTGTGTCTAGTACATTATTGAAAATCTCAATTTCAAATATTTTTTCTCGGTTTGGAAATCAGTGATCAGCAGCTAATTCATCAAAATGCTTTTTAACTTTTCTTTGCCTTTTTTCTTGAAAATGGGTATCAATACCATATTTTCTTGCAGTTTCACTGGCTTCGCACTTGAATAATTCGAAATCATTGCTATAAATTTGCAACTTTGCTTTGGTCTCTGCTAAAGCTTTGCTCGCCTCGCCCAAATTGATGTCGCATTTTTGTAAAGTTTTGAATGCATAATCGATGTCGTTCAATACACTGTGCATGAATTCGCAAAGCAACACGAACTCGAAATTTAGCATTTTTGTTTTAATTCTCTCTGATTCACTACGCTCATCTTTATTAGGACTCCTTAGAACTATTTCTGATAATGCTTTGATAATATCAAAATAACGAAGTTTTATTGCAGATATCGTATTGACCCTACTGGACCATCTAGTCGGATTTAGTTATTTTAGAGTGGTGTCTGATTCACCAGTGAATTTTGACAGTAGATCCCAACGTTTGATGCTGTTTCCGAAAAAGTTATACAAATCTTGCAACGTTGCGAAAAAAATTTGTATTTCCACACAACTGCTAACGGCATCATTTATCACCAAATTTAAATTATGAGTGGCACAATGTACGTACTCTGCGTTAGGCTGGATATCCTTAATATGTTTTTGTTCACCATTATACACACCACTCATCACACTGGCTCCATCATAGTCTTGGCCCACACATTTTTTTAAATCAATATTTTTGTCGATAAATAATGTTGTCACTTGGTTGACTAAATCTACTGCGCCATGTTTGATGGCTGCATAAAAGACTAGAAACACTTCTTTTACTTCTATATCAATTGACTGTCCATTTTCCGATCTGGTTATTACTGCATACCTCACAACAATGTTTAGCTGATCTACCTTCGATAGATCCTGTGTCGTATCCATTATAATGGCAAAAAACGGTGACGCTCTAATTTGTTCTAGTAGATGGACTTCGAGTTTGGTCCCCAAGCTCTCAATCATTTCATTTTGAATTGCTGCACTCAGATATCTTGTAGATCCCAAAAACATAAAAACACACAATTTCAAAAAAGTCGTGATGTTAAGCAGTTAATAATTATAAGCGAAATAAAACGATAAAAAATAATTATTATTACCTTTGGGCATATCCAAACATTGCCGCAAAATGTGATCTTATCGGGCGACAAGCTCTACAAAGGACAGAAAATTTCCGTGATATCCTTTCTGACTAAGTCTTCTTGATGTCCTCTCAAAGCCAAAGAACTCTTTGCTAGGGTAAGTATGATATCGAATAACCTTTGAAGAACCATTTTCCAAAATGATGCTTCTTTGCGAATTTCATTTTCAAGTTCCTTGTCGATAGTATTAGTATCGTTTTTTTTCCAAAATTCATATACAGCACATGCTTCCGAATGGCCACTCGAACAACTGTGTTGTTTAATTCTTTCTGATAAATTCTTCCAATCTCGAATTCCCGTACACCAA